ATAACAAAACTCTGAACAATACATTTTTAAATTTTACTTTAATACTTTTTATTACATAACACACTTAACGATAACTTTTAACACATCCACTTGAGCCCTAAAATAGCCGTCTTCATTGACAAAACTCTTGGGTCATCTCTAAATCATAACATGGTTGGGAAATTGATATCGCGCAGCGCGAAAAGTCTTCAACAATTGTTAGCTCAGCTACTACGTCACTCTCCCTTATCTGCTGCGAGCTAGCTGGCTATATATAAAAAAAAACCCCATCATCATCTAACTTAATTCACCATTTACAAATCATTCTTCATCTATCTCTTCTCTCTCTTCTCTCTCTCTCTCTCTCCTCAAAAGCACTAGTTGGTTGGAAAGAAAAATATGGAAAAAACACCGGAACAAGAACACCCAGTGAAGGCCTTCGGATGGGCAGCCAGTGATCCATCTGGACTCCTCTCTCCTTCAATTTCTCCAGAAGGTGAGCGTTTTTGAAATTTGATTTTCTGTTACCGTTTTTAGCTTTTTTAGTAGTTTTTTTTTAGTTAATACGTTTAAAAAATTACTGAAAGACTAATTTTTTTAATTAGAGGTGACATTAAAATTTTTTAATTGGAAAGATTATGATACACATCTTTAAAAAATGTATATATATATACTTTATAATTAAAAAATAAAAATCATAATTCATATTTTTGAGTTATAACTAAAAAAAATCATAACTAAATTACTACTGAGACAATTAAAATTTCAAAATATGTTTAACTAAAAAAAGAAAATAACTTAACTAAAGTAATATGGTAGAGATGTAATTATAGAATTTTTCTTTTAGTTGATAAAATTAATTGACTTTTAATTTTTGAGAATTCACTATAGTGGGACAAAAAAAAAATCAAATATTAAGATATAATGATTCTGTGATAAATATAAATAAAAATTATAAAAATACAATTCATTTGCACCTTTTATATTTGGTAGAAAAATTTGCTACAAAAATTTGTCTGTATCCCATATTGTTATGTCCCCCCGAAAATCCCCCCTAATCCCCCCTTTTCAAACCAAGCAAAAAAAAAAAAGATAATTCTCCAAAATGATGTCGTTTGGAATTAGACTTTTTTTAAGATAAATATTCTCATTGTAATTAATTTTTCTTAAAAGAGTAACTTTCGATGGCAGCAAAAAGCAATTAAATCTAATAAGGTAAAAATTCTTGATGGAAATAAAAAAAAAAAAAAAACAGCCAGCACTTATTGACGTGATGACACTGCCCATCATATTACCTCTAATTAAGGTAAACTTTATCTATCCCCCCTCTGAAAGCATCCCACTCCCTTTTTTTCTTGGTTTCCAAACACATCGAGGTGGTGAAAAAAAAGGTCGTTTTTACTCTTTCATCACAAAATAATGGTCTGTTAAATTTAAATTTTTTGTAATATAATTATACATTTGAAAAAAATTAATTTTTAAAATTATCTTTGATAGTACATTTTTTAAGAATATCAATGTCATTATTGTATTTTTTTATATTTTTATATTTTAAAAGAAGGACAAAATAGGAAATTATATTATTTTTATACTTGATTTTGAAAGGACTAATTTTTGGAAATAAAAAATAGAAAAAAGAGACTAATATTTTGAAACGGAGGAATATTTTTAAAGAAAGTTAAAAATCAAAAAATTACTAAATTGTTTATCATCAATAAAAAAAAATTAATAAATAAGGATTTTTTAATATATTTTTAAACAAATTAATTTTTTAACTAATAAATAAAAAGAGAATAACTACTAAAAAATCAATCCCAAACCCGGCCACTATTATGGTCATTTACTATTAAAACCCTCCCTCACTAACAATCTTATAATCTTAAGCCTCGTTTGACCAGTATTTTATAGTCAAAAAATCATTAAAAAATTAGAATTCATATCAAAAATCAAAAATTCTCTTTCTCTCTATTTTTTGCACATTTTTCGTAAAAAGTCAAAAATCATTTCAAACATACTACAGTTTTTTTAACATCACATTTTAGCCAAAAGTCAAAAATTATAAAAAAGTCTGTTCCCAAACGAGGCTTAATATATATGCCTATGCTTGATTCATAAATTTAAGAATAAAATTACAATACATCCCTTGAGATTTACTTAAATTACAAATTACTCATTGTAGTTCTAAAATTATTTTATGTCCTTAAGGTTTTTTAATTTCATAACAAATAAGTCATTTTATTAATAAATTATTAAGTTATTAATAGTTTTAATAATGTTAAAATTTATTTCAATTAATAATTCAGATAAATTTATTATTGTATAGGTGGAACAGTTAAAAATTTTATTTTTTCAATTAATTTTGTTAAATAAAAATTTATGACAGCGAGGTATTTGTAATTTTCCAACTACAAGGAACAATCATATTTTAAGTAAACTCAAGTAATGTATTTATAATTTATCCTAAATTTAAATAAATATATATATATATATATATAAAATATAATTATATTTTATTCATATTATTATTATTATTATTATTTTAAATTCTTTTCTAATTCAAGAACAGAGTACGACCTTCAAAAGTGACATGGCATACCCAATTGTCTTTTCATTTGCAAAATGAACTGGACAGAATAGGTTGGGGCCTTCTCGACTCATCTCGGGCTCTAATTTTATAAAAAAAAATTTTGGACCCATTTTTTTGGGGGTTTCATGACACCATTTTCATCTTAGCCCCGATGTGTACGTGGGTCCTTTCATGCATGTATGGACCCTACATTATGAGTGGTTAAAATGAGAGTAGAGAATTGTGGAAGTCATGTATGTGTGGAGTCTCTATCATTGTTGATTCATTTTATACGAATCACTGTATAGATTATGCATTAACAAAATTAAAAATATATTGATTCAATAATTATAATCACATGTTTATCATATTTATCTATGAAAAAAATTAATGATTTGTTTTTTAGTTCATACTTAATCTTCAAGTTTTTCATACAATTCAGATCAATTTTTTTTTCATAAATGATCTATTTACAAAAATTTATATAAATAAATACTTGAATCATAAAAGTGGATTCTGTGATGAATCCATGGACCAGATTATCTGGTTCACAAAATGGAATGTGTATAGTTAGGGGATTTGAAGAGGGATTTGAAAAGTGAAAGGGAAAATGTATGTGAAATTAGTTGAAATGTAGGTATATTTATTCATATTTCACTATTTTTGTTATTTCCCTATTCAAATCCTCAACCAAATATTCACCATTATTCATCCAATTGGTAATATTAACAACATCATGTATGTAGAGGGATTGTAGGTGAAGATGGAATTTATGTTTCAGGGAACAGGGGATCATGAAGTGACATTGAAAGTGCTATACTGTGGAATTTGTCACTCCGACCTTCACGTTGTCAGGAATGAATGGGCACGTCCAAGTACTCTTGTCCCGGGTGTGTTAATTCTCTTCTCAAATCATACTTAAAATAGATTCTACACATGATATACATTTTGTATATATTTTCAGTTATTTTAATTATGTACACTAATATATACTTTCGTTTGTGTTTCCCTTGAATATTTCATAAGCAATAATATTACCTACTTACAATTTTATTGAGAAAGTGTCCCGAAAGTAAAACTAAATTTGTTTAGATGTGAAGAAAGTTGTTCGGTATTATAGCAATTTTTTTTTTTTTTTTTTTATTTTTATATAGAGAAAGAAGCATCCTTTTGAAAAAATCACACATTTTCTTTCTTTTAACCAACTGGCCATCTTGAAAAATAAAGAGGAAAAAGTGTGACAAAATTAATTCTTATCTTCAAATGCAAACATACAACGATTGGAAATCTATAAAATCTTAAGAAATAACTGCGTCACGCAATTCATATTTCTCATCTATTTTCTCATCACTAGATATAAGGACAGTAAATACTTAGCTTAGTACATACACAACAATACCTCACTTTATAAGTGCAAGTAAACCGGACCGTTACAGGCACGAAGATTGTAGGTGTTGTTGACAAAAGGTGGCAATAGGTCAAAAGCTCAAAGTAGGTGACAAAGGCGCGGTGTGGGTGCTTCAATTGGATTCATGTCGTTCCTGCGCACCATGTGCAACAACAACGAAAGCTTACTGCTTTCCTAAACAGATATCTACCTTTGTGTTCCACTTCTACGCATTGGAACCCCTCATACTGGGAGGCTTTTCAGACATCATGGTTGTGATGAGCACTTTTGTGCTTTGCATTTTGAATAACCTGCCTCTGATGCTTACTGCTCCAACTTCTATTGTTGCTGGGATCACAGTCTATAGTCCCTTGAAGTATTTTGAACTTGACAAACCTGGTATGCATGTGGGTGTGGTAGGACTAGTGGTCTAGGCCACCTGGCTGTCAAATTTGCTAGGCTTTTGGGGTTAAAGTTACAATCATTAGTACCTCCCCTGGCAGAAGAAGGAAGCCATTGAATGTCTTGGAGCTGACTCATCTTGGTTAGCCGTGACTTTTTTTTGGCTATTTTAGCCACAAAAAATAAAATAGGCTATTTTAGTCATAACAAACAAAACATCACATCCAACCCATAATCAATTACATTCTTCTCTCACAAAAAAACTCAAAAAAGTCAAAAAGTCAAAAAGTCCTTCCCAAACCAAGCTTTTAAGCCCAGGCTAAAATAGCCAAAAAAGCCAAAAAACCAAAAAGCCAACCCACTTCCCAAACCAAGCCTTATTATATCATCATTTATTGACTAAATTAACGAACTCTTCGCATATATTTTTAAATTTCACTTTTAATATTTTTTAAACTTTTAACACATCCACTGAGGCCCTAAAATAGCCGTCTTCATTGACAGAACTCTTGGGTCATCTCTAAATCATAACATGGTTGGGAAATTGATATCGCGCAGCCGCGAAAAGTCTTCAACAATTGTTAGCTCAGCTACTACGTCACTCTCCCTTATCCTGCTGCGAGCTAGCTGGCTATATATAAAAAAAAACCCCATCATCATCTAACTTAATTCACCATTTACAAATCATTCTCATCTATCTCTATCTCTCTCTCTCTCTCTCTCTCTCTCTCTCTCAAAAGCACTAGTTGGTTGGAAAGAAAAATATGGAAAAAACACCGGAACAAGAACACCCAGTGAAGGCCTTCGGATGGGCAGCCAGTGATCCATCTGGACTCCTCTCTCCCTTCAATTTCTCCAGAAGGTGAGCGTTTTGAATTTGATTTTCTGTTACCTTTTAGCTTTTTAGTAGTTTTTTTTTAGTTAATACGTTTAAAAAATTACTGAAAGACTATTTTTTTTTTAATTAGAGGTGACATTAAAACTTTTTAATTGGAAAGATTATGATACACATCTTTAAAAAATGTATATTATATATACTTTATAATTAAAAAATAAAATGTCATAATTTCATATTTTTGAGTTATAACTAAAAAAAAAATTCATAACTAATACTACCTGAGACATAATTAAACATTTCAAAATAATGTTATAACTAAAAAAGAAAATAACTTAACTAAAAGTATATATGGTAAGAGATGTATTGCAGAATTTTCTCTTTTTAGTTGATGAAAATTAATTGACTTTATAATTTTTCAGAGAATTACAGTATAGTGGGACAAAAAAAACAATCAAAATATATAAGATATAAATGATTCTGTGATAGAATATAAATAAAAAATTATAAAAATACAAGTGCCACTTGCACCTTCTTATATTTGCGTAGAAAAATTTGTCTACAAAAAATTGTCTGTCCCATGCGTAATTCCTCCTTAATTTTTTTACTAAAAAAGGTAACTTCTCGCAGCTCGCGCAGCAATATCCCCACCTCTGAAAGCATCCCCACTTCCCTTTTTTTCTTGGGTTCCCAAACCACATCTGAGGTGGTGAAAAAAAAGACCGTCTTTTACTCATTTCATCCCAAAATAATGGTCTGTTTTAAGAAATTTAACTTTTTTTAGTAATATAATTATTACATTTGAAAAAAATTAATTTTTTAAAATTATCCTTTGGGTAGTACATTTTTTAAGAATATCAATGTCATTATTATATTTTTTATATTGTTTATTAATTTAAAAGAAGGACAAAATAGGAAATTTATATTATTTTTATACTTGATTTTTGAAGAGGGACTAATATTTTGGGATAATAAAAAATAGAATAAGAGACTAATATTTTGAAACGGAGGGAATATTTTTAAAGAAAGTTAAAAATCAAAAAATTACTAAATTGTTTATCATCAATAAAAAAAAATTAATAAATAAGGATTTTTTTAATATATTTTTTAAACAAATTAATTTTTTAACTAATAAATAAAAAAGAGAATAACTACTGAAAAAATCAATCCCAAACCCGGCCACTATTATGGTCATTACTATTAAAACCCTCCCTTCACTAACAATCTTATAATCTTAAGCCTCGTTTGACAAGTAATTTTTATAGTCAAAAAATCATTAAAAAAATTAGCAATTCATATCAAAAAATCAAAAATTCTCTTTTCTCTCTATTTTTTGCACATTTTTCGTAAAAAGTCAAAAAATCATTTCAAACATACTACTAGTTTTTTTAACATCACATTTTAGCCAAAAAGTCAAAAAATTATTAAAAAAGTCTGTTCCCAAACGAGGCTTAATATATATGCTATGCTTGATTCATAAATTTAAGAGTAAATTACAAATACATCCCTTGAGATTTACTTAAATTACAAATTACTCATTGTAGTTCTAAAAATTATTTTATGTCCTTTAAGGTTTTTAATTTCATAACAAATAAGTCATTTTATTAATAAATTATTAAGTTATTAATAGTTTTTAATAATGTTAAAATTTTATTTCAATTAATAATTCAGATAATTTTATTATTGTATAGGTGAACAGTTAAAAATTTTATTTTTTCAATTAATTTTGTTAAATAAAAATTTATGACAGCGAGGTATTTGTAATTTTCCAAACTACAAGGAACAATTCATATTTTAAGTAAACCTCAAGTAATGTATTTATAATTTATCCTAAATTTAAATAAATATATATATATATATATATAAAATATAATTATATTTTATTCATATTATTATTATTATTATTATTTTAAATTCTTTTCTAAATTCAAGAACAGAGTACGACCTTCAAAAGTGACATGGCATACCCAATTGTCTTTTCATTTTGCAAAATGAACTGGACAGAATAGTTGGGCCTTCTCGACTCATCTCGGGCTCTAATTTTATAATAAAAAAATGTTTGGACCCCATTTTTTTGGGGGGTTTCATGAGCCCATTTTCATCTTAGCCCCTGATGTGTACGTGGGGTCCTTTCATGCATGTATGTACCCTACATTATGAGTGGTTAAAATGAGAGTAGAGATTGTGGAAGTCATGTATGTGTGGAAGTCTCTATCATTGTTGATTCATTTTATACGCATCACTGTATAGATTATGCATTAACAAAATTAAAAATATATTGATTCAATAATTATAATCACATGTTTTATCATATTTATCTATGAAAAAAATTAATGATTTGTTTTTTAGTTCATACTTAATCTTCAAGTTTTTTCATACAATTCAGATCAATTTTTTTTTCATAAATGATCTATTTACAAAAATTTATAAAATAAATGACTTGAATCATAAAAGTGGATTCTGTGATGAATCCATGGACCAGATTATCTGGTTCACAAAAATGGAATGTGTTATAGTTAGGGGATTTGAAGAGGGATTTGAAAAGTGAAAGGGAAAATGTATGTGAAATTAGTTGAAATGTAGGTATATTTTATTCATATTTCACCTATTTTTGTTATTTCCCTATTCAAATTCCTCAACCAAATATTTCACCATTATTCATCCAATTGGTAATATTAACAACATCATGTATGTAGAGGGATTGTATGTGAAGATGGAATTTATGTTTCAGGGAAACAGGGGATCATGAAGTGACATTGAAAGTGCTATACTGTGGAATTTGTCACTCCGACCTTCACGTTGTCAAGAATGAATGGGGCACGTCCAAGTATCCTCTTGTCCCGGGGTAGATTAATTCTCTCTCTTCAAATCATACTTAAAATAGATTCTAGCCACATGATATACATTTTGTATATATTTTCAGTATTTTAATTATGTACACTAATATATACTTTCGTTGTGTTTTCCCTGAATTATTTCATAAGCAATAATATTACCTACTTACAATTTTTATTGAGAAAGTGTCCGGAAAGTAAAACTAAATTTGTTTTAGATGTTGAGAAAGTGTTCGGTATTATAGCAAATTTTTTTTTTTTTTTTTTTTTTATATAGAGAAAGAAGCATCCTTTGAAAAATCACACATTTTTCTTTCTTTAACCAACTGGCCATCTTGAAAAATAAAGAGAAAAAGTGTGACAAAATTAATTCTTATCTTCAAATGCAAACATACAACGATGGAAATCTATAAATTTAAGAAAAATGCGTCACGCAATCATATTTCTCATCTTATTTTCTCATCACTAGATATAAGGACAGTAAATACTTAGCTTAGTACATACACAACAATACCTCACTTATAAGTGCAAGTAAACCGGACCATTACAGGCACGAGATTGTAGGTGTTGTGACAAAGGTTGGCAATAAGGTGCAAAAGCTCAAAGTAGGTGACAAAGGCGCGGTGGGGTGCTTCATTGGATCATGTCGTTCCTGCAACCATTGTGCCAACAACCAAGAAAGCTACTGTCCTAAACAGATATCTACCTTGTGTTCCACTTACTACGATGGAACCACCTCATACGGAGGCTTTTCAGACATCATGGTTTGTGATGAGCACTTTGTGCTTTGCATTCCTGATAACCTGCCTCTTGATGCTACTGCTCCACTTCTATGTGCTGGGATCACAGTCTATAGTCCCTTGAAGTATTTTGAACTTGACAAACCTGGTATGCATGTGGGTGTGGTAGGACTAGGTGGTCTAGGCCACCTGGCTGTCAAATTTGCTAAGGCTTTTGGGGTTAAAGTTACAGTCATTAGTACCTCCCCTGGCAAGAAGAAGGAAGCCATTGAATGTCTTGGAGCTGACTCATTCTTGGTTAGCCGTGACAATGATCAGATGGAGGTGATTAATTTTATTCTTATTTTTTTGTCTGTGGATGAAATGCATTGTCAGTTTCAAAAGTCTGCCTTATGTTTCATTTTGGTTCATGTTTCATTTTGGTTCATGATATTTCAATCGCGTCAATTTAGACAAAAATACACTTGCTTCTGTTATAAAATTTGGATAGAAATGGCGCTGCGATTATTTAAACACAAACTGGATAAATTTAGGACCAAATTGGCATAATTGAAATATCAAGAATCAAAATGATATAGAGCGAGCGCATATTTTGGGGATTGACAGTGTATGTAACAATTTTTTTCTCGTTTACTATGCTGTTATATTTTTATGAAGATTGTTGAAAAATTTCTCATTTTGGAATATTAAATGTATTTTTAGGCTGCAATTGGCACAATGGATGGTATCATTGATACAGTCTCTGGCTTTCATTCTCTCTTGCCATTACTTAACCTCTTGAAATCAAATGGAAAGCTGATTTTGGTTGGAATATCAGAAAAACCACTTGAGCTACCAGCCTTCCCTTTGCTTACAGGTAAGCGAATTGCACTTCTTTTTTCCATGCCTACATAAAATGGGAAAAAAAATCTTAAAAGCAATTTGTCATTGTTAGTAATTTTCTTTTAAAATTCTTCATAATAGAGAAGTTTCAAAAAAAAAAAATCCACTATAAACGAAAAAAACAGATTTAAAAACTGCTTCCAACAATAGCAAATGTCTACTTTGACAAAAAAATTTGGAGCATGACTATACATACATGGCTCCCTTGCTAAGAATACGATTAATAAGAAATGGGAAATGACAGGGAGGAAGATGGTGGCCGGGAGTGCCAGTGGAGGCTTGAAGGAAACTCAAGAAATGATTGATTTTGCAGCAGAACACAACATTTCATCAGACATAGAAGTTATTCCAATGGACTACGTGAACACTGCCATGGAACGTCTAGCAAAAGGAGACGTTAAATATCGATTTGTAATTGACATTGGTAACACATTACATGCTACCTAACTTTTGTTTCCTTTAAGGATGTGTCAAAACCTGTTGGAGGTTTGATTATGTAGCAGTTTCAGCTTCTCTATCTCTCCTTGTATTTGGTTCATCTTTCATTTTTGTATTTTGGATATTTTATTTGATGGCAAGTTTCTTTTGATTGTAAGGGATATATAATGTAATTTTCTATTTATGCTTAATCCTCTATTGTTAGAGTATATCTCCTTATTAGAGTATGGGACCCAATTAATTTATTAAAAGAATTTTAATTTGGTTTGGTTATAATATATTTTATATATTAATTATATCTAATTTTTAGAAGCCTAATAAGTATTTTTTATAATCAATTGAGTAATAGTTAGGGTTTAAATAAAAGACCTAGATTCACAATATATATAAGATATATTGTCTTTGCCCCGAGAGAGAGTAGTGGCTGCCGACTAATATTTTCGGTGAGACTGTGCTGGGTTTTTGTCAATTGGGGATTAAGATTGGTCATCAAGTCAATGCTTGGTTCTGGATTTATTGTTGCTGCTACTATCTTGGATTTGATGCTGGTTTGATTCAGATTTATGATCTTCTTTAACTCTGTTTCGAAGATTTTTGTTCGTCTATTTGGTGAGATATTTCCTCTTGTTTATTTGTGATTATTTGGAATTTACCTAAGGTTGGTTTTGTGAGACCATTCGTGTCTCGTTTGTAATCGTTTGGAAACTTCTTAGTTGATAGTGGAATCGGATTTTGATCCCGTGGACGTACCTCACATTGAGTGAACCACGTAAAATTCTTATGTTGCTTTTGATATAATTTTTCTGCATTAGTTTTTATTCCCGTTGATTGATTTACTTGTGGGGAATCATATATTTTCCCTAACAATTGTATCAGAGCTTACAGTTTATTTTGGTTTATTTATTTGTATTGGACCATTTTAATATCTTTTATTTATTTATATATATATTTTTGTTCATGAATCTTCTTTTGTTTAATTCATGAATCTTATCTTGTTCATGAATGGAGATTAATTAGAATTCATGAACTTGATGATGAGTTATTATTAGGAGTCTCTCCATTTTCTCTTGTTTAATGGTCATTATTTTTTGGTGTAATTTGTAAGGTCCTAGTGGCCTATAAATAATTCCTCTCATCTACTCTTTTCTACATCAACACATCAGCTATTTTCTATACAAGAGAGATTACTCGCAAAGAATGTGTTTTTCTTGGTGGAGCTTTGGGTTCATCATCTTGTATAGAGTTGGCCTGAACCATATGACAAGTGGTCGGGTTGTTGTATCCTGGAGGGAACAAGTCATAGTTTTGTGACTGCTGCATCGGTATTTAGGTTCTTCCTACCGCAGTGGGCTTGATCTCCTTAAACAAAACGAGATATCCGTGCCTCAGCCTGATCTATTTGTATCTCATTTTCTTTGCATTATTTATCAATAAAATATATTTTCTGGTATTTTCACCAATAATTTTAAGGAGATCAAACATGAAACAAGTACCAGAAAAAATCAATGATGGAATTGGAGATCTCAGCAAGCCTTTCAGGTTCAAAGGAGTTCATTTTAAGAGGTGGAAAGGAAAAGTTCTTTTTTACCTTAGCCTTTTGAAAGTTGCATATGTTTTTACCTCGAAGAATCCAAACAAAATCCCAACCGAGGAGATGAATGATGAAGACTACGAGGCACATGAAGCAAAAGTGGCTTCCTATAATACAAATGAGTATAAATATCACTTTTATCTCTTAAATTGTCTTGCTGATCAATTTTATGATTATTATGACACCACTTACACTTTCGCAAAGAAATTTTGGAAAGCTTTACAGACTAAGTATGATACTGAAGAGGCAGGAGCAAAAAAGTATGCAGCTAGCCGCTTTTTTCGCTTCCAAATGATGGATGAAAAATCTATTGTGGAGCAAGCACAAGATTTCCAAATGATAATTACAGAAGTAAGATCTGAAGGAATCAAGATCGGTGACAACATGGTAGTTGCAAGACTTGTTGACAAACTACTACCATCTTGGAGAAAATTCCAAAAGAACATGTGCCACAAACAAAAGGAGACTTCCTTAAAGGCATTGATCACTCACATCCGAGTCAAAGAAGAGGCTAGAGGCCAAGATGCATTAATAACACAAGTGGGTAATGACAATTCTACCACAAAGGTAAATTTTGTTTCAGTAAATAATAACTTACCGAAAGGTCACAATTCCAAGAATGCTTATTAGAAGCCTTATAAAAAGAATATGAAGAATTATGGTAAACCTCATAATAAATCGATTAATCCAAATAAGAACCAAGGTCCATCACCTCCACAAAATTTTACATGCTTTGTCTATGGCAAAAGTGGGCATATTGCTCGAATTTGTAAATTCCGAAAACGTGCGCCTGCCCCAAAGGCTAACGTTATCGAGGAGCCATTTGTGGCGATGATTACAGACATTTGCATGGTTAATTATGTGGACGGTTGGTGGACAGATTCTGGTGCCAATAGACATATTTGTTATGATCAAGCTTGGTTCAAGGTGTATACTCTCTTTGATAATGAGAAAACAATTATGCTTGCTGATTCTAGCCAAACCAAGATACTTGGGAGTTGTGAGGTTGACCTTAAGTTCACCTCTGGACGTATGCTTACTTTAAAAGATGTGATTTATACACTATCCATGAGGAAGAATTTGATGGCAAGTTATTTGTTAAATAAGACTGGTTTTAAGCAAACTATGGAATCTGATCAATATGTGATTACCAAGAAGGGTATTTTTGTGGTTAAGGGTTATGCTTGTGATGGGATGTTCAAATTGAATGTTGAGATTAATAAACCATCTACCAATTCGGTTTACATGTTTTCTTCTATTAATTTTTGGCATGCTCGCTTGTGTCATATAAACAGTAAATATGTGGGAATCATGAGTAGTTTACGATTAATTTCGTAAAGTGACAAAATTTTTTGAGAAATGTGAAGTTTGCAGTAAAGCAAAAATTACCAAGAGGCCTTTTAAAAGTGTTGAAAAAAATACCGAATTGCTATAATTATTTTATTCTGATTTGTATGAGTTTGAAGGAATTTTAACTCGGTGTGGTAACCGATATTTTATCACTTTTATTGATGATTTTTCCAAAATACACAAATGTATATTTATTAAAAAATAAAAATGATGCTTTTGAGAAATTTAAAGAATTCCTTCTTGAAGTGAAAAATTAATTCGGTAAAAAGATCAAAAGAATTAGAAGTGATAGAGGCCGAGAGCATGAATCTCTTGGATTCAACTCTTTTGTTTAGTCTTTGGGAATTATTCATGAGACTACTCCACCATATTCACCTTCATCTAATGGCGTAACTAAAAGAAAAAATAGAACGTTAATTGACTTGACAAATGCTATGCTTATTGATTCAGGTGCTCCCTCAAATCTTTGGGGCGAGGCTAGTTTGACAGCTTGCCATGTGATAAATAGAGTGCCACACAAAAAAACTAAAATTGTACCTTATGAGTTGTGGCGGGGGCAAAAATCAAATCTAGGTTACTGGGGGTTTGGGGTTGTTTAGCTTTTGTGAGGCTTGCAGATCCTAAACGACCTAAATTGGGTGAACGAGCTACCACCTGTGCTTTTCTTGGGTATGCGTTGCATAGTACAGTTTATAGATTTTGTGATAAGGAAAATAATATTATTTTTGAATCAAGTAATACTATTTTTCATGAAAATAAATTTCATTTCAAATCTAGAAATAGTGGAGGTCAAATAATTTCTGAAAATATTTTATCCATGCCTAGCTCTTCTACTCCATCTCAAGTTTTTCAAGAACAAGAAAATTCTCAAATCCAACTAATGAGGAGTAAACGAGCTAGAGTTGAAAAAGATTTTTGCCCTGTCTATTATCTTTACAATGTGCAAGAAATTCCTCTTATGGTGCAAGAAGCTTTATCATCATCTAATGTTATTTTCTGGAGAGAGGCTATAAATGATTAGATAGATTCACTACTTTCAAAAAAAACATGGAAGCTAGTGGATTTACCTCCAGGTTGTAAAACTATTGGGTGTAAATGAGTCCTTCGTAAAAAACTTAAACCAGATGGAACTATAGATAAATATAAAGCGAGGCTTGTCGCTAAAGGTTTTAAGCAACAAGTTGATATTGATTTCTTTGATACTTTTTCTCCGATTACTAGGGTTACATCCATTAGACCGTTGATAGTAATGGCTGCAATTCATGATTTAAAAATTCATCAAATGGATGTAAAAACAGTATTTTTAAATGAAGATCTAGATGAGGAGATTTACATGGACCAACCCGAAGGCTTTGTGGAGCCTGGCCAAAAAAGCAAGGTGTGTAAGGTAACTAAATCCCTTTATGGTTTAAAACAAGCTCCTAAACAGTGGCATGAGAAATTTGATTCCTGCATGCTTAAGAATGGCTATAAGACTAATGAATGTGATAAGTGCATATATTATAAAACTTGTGAGAATGCACATGTGATTATTAGTGTTATATTTTTATGAAGATTGTTGAAAAATTTCTCATTTTGGAATATTAAATGTATTTTTAGGCTGCAATTGGCACAATGGATGGTATCATTGATACAGTCTCTGGCTTTCATTCTCTCTTGCCATTACTTAACCTCTTGAAATCAAATGGAAAGCTGATTTTGGTTGGAATATCAGAAAAACCACTTGAGCTACCAGCCTTCCCTTTGCTTACAGGTAAGCGAATTGCACTTCTTTTTTCCATGCCTACATAAAATGGGAAAAAAAATCTTAAAAGCAATTTGTCATTGTTAGTAATTTTCTTTTAAAATTCTTCATAATAGAGAAGTTTCAAAAAAAAAAATCCACTATAAACGAAAAAAACAGATTTAAAAACTGCTTCCAACAATAGCAAATGTCTACTTTGACAAAAAAATTTGGAGCATGACTATACATACATGGCTCCCTTGCTAAGAATACGATTAATAAGAAATGGGAAATGACAGGGAGGAAGATGGTGGCCGGGAGTGCCAGTGGAGGCTTGAAGGAAACTCAAGAAATGATTGATTTTGCAGCAGAACACAACATTTCATCAGACATAGAAGTTATTCCAATGGACTACGTGAACACTGCCATGGAACGTCTAGCAAAAGGAGACGTTAAATATCGATTTGTAATTGACATTGGTAACACATTACATGCTACCTAACTTTTGTTTCCTTTAAGGATGTGTCAAAACCTGTTGGAGGTTTGATTATGTAGCAGTTTCAGCTTCTCTATCTCTCCTTGTATTTGGTTCATCTTTCATTTTTGTATTTTGGATATTTTATTTGATGGCAAGTTTCTTTTGATTGTAAGGGATATATAATGTAATTTTCTATTTATGCTTAATCCTCTATTGTTAGAGTATATCTTCTTATTGGAGTATGGGACCTAATTAATTTATTAAAAAAATTTTAATTTAGTTTAGTTATAATATATTTTATATATTAATTATATCTAATTTTTAGAAGCCTAATAAGTATTTTTTATAATCAGTTTAGTAGTAGTTAGGGTTTAAATAAAAGCCCTAGATTCACAATATATATAAGATATATTAGATTCACAATATATATAAGATATATTGTCTTTGTCCCGAGAGAGAGTAGTGGCTGCCGACTAATATTTTTCGGTGAGACTGTGCTGGGTTTTTGTCAATTGGGGATTAAGAATGGTCATCAAGCCAATGCTTGGTTCTGGATTTATTGTTGCTGCTACTACCTTGGATTTGATGCTGGTTTGATTCAGATTTATGATCTTCTTCAACTCTGTTTTGAAGATTTTTGTTCGTCTCTTTACTGAGATCTTTTCTCTTGTTTATTTGTGATTATTTGGAATTCACCTAAGGATGGTTTTGTGAGACCATTCGTGTCTGGTTTATAATCGTTTGGAAACTTCTTAGTTGATAGTAGAATCGGATTTTGATCCCGTGGACGTACCTCACATTGAAGGAACCACGTAAAATTTTTATGTTGCTTTTGATTTAATTTTTCTGCATTAGTTTTTATTCCCGTTGATTGATTTACTTGTGGGGAATCATATATTTTCCCTAACAATTGTATCAGAGCTTACGGTTTATTTTGGTTTATTTATTTGTGTTGGACCATTTTAATATCTTTTATTTATTTATTTATATATTTTTGTTCATGAATCTTCTTTTGTTTAATTCATGAATCTTATCTTGTTCATGAATGGAGGTTAATTAGAATTTATGAACTTTGTGATGAGTTATTATTTGGAGTCTCTCCATTTTTTCTTTATTATTTGGAGTCTGTCCATTTTCTCTTGTTTAATGGTCATTATTTTTTGATGTAATTTGTAAGGTCCTAGTGACCTATAAATAGTTTCTCTCATCTACTTTTTTCTACATCAACACATCAACTATTTTCTATACAAGAGAGATTACTAGCAAAGAATGCGTTTTTCTTGGTGGAGCTTTGGGTTAATCATCTTGTATAGAGTTGGCCTGAATCATATGACAAGTGGTCGGGTTGTTGTATCCTGGAGGGAACAAGTCATAGTTTTGTGACTGCTGCATTGGTATTTAGGTTCTTCCTACCGCAGTGGGCTTGATCTCCTTAAACAAAACGAGATATCCGTGCCTCAGCCTGATCTATTTGTATCTCATTTTCTTTGCATTATTTATCAATAAAATATATTTTATGGTATTTCACCAATAATTTTAAGGAGATCAAACATGGAACAAGTACCAGAAAAAATCAATGATGGAATTGGAGATCTCAACAAGCCTTTCAAGTTCAAAGGAGTTCATTTTAAGAGGTGGAAAGGAAAAGTTCTTTTTTACCTTAGCCTTTTGAAAGTTGCATATGTTTTTACCTCGAAGAATCCAAACAAAATCCCAACCGAGGAGATGAATGATGAAGACTACGAGGCACATGAAGCACAAGTGGCTTCCTATAATACAGATGAGTATAAATATCGCTTTTATCTCTTAAATTGTCTTGCTGATCAATTTTATGATTATTATGACACCACTTACACTTTCGCAAAGAAAATTTGGAAAACTTACAGACTAAATATGATACTGAAGAGGCAGGAGCAAAAAAGTATGCAGCTAGCCACTTTTTTCGCTTCCAAATGGTGGATGGCAAATCTATTGTGGAGCAAGCACAAGATTTCCAAATGATAGTTACAGAAGTAAGATCTGAAGGAATCAAGATAGGTGACAACTTGGTAGTTGCTGGACTTGTTGACAAACTACTACCATCTTGGAGAGAATTCCAAAAGAGCATGCGCCACAAACAAAAGGAGACTTCCTTAGAGGCGTTGATCACTCACATCCAAGTCAAAGAAGAGGCTAGAGGCCAAGATGCATTAATAACACAAGCGGGTAATGACAATTCTACCACAGAGGTAAATTTTGTTTCAGTAAATAATAACTTACCGAAAGGTCACAATTCCAAGAATGCTTATTAGAAGCCTTATAAAAAGAATATGAAGAATTATGGTAAACCTCATAATAAATCGATTAATCCAAATAAGAACCAAGGTCCATCACCTCCACAAAATTTTACATGCTTTGTCTATGGCAAAAGTGGGCATATTGCTCGAATTTGTAAATTCCGAAAACGTGCGCCTGCCCCAAAGGCTAACGTTATCGAGGAGCCATTTGTGGCGATGATTACAGACATTTGCATGGTTAATTATGTGGACGGTTGGTGGACAGATTCTGGTGCCAATAGACATATTTGTTATGATCAAGCTTGGTTCAAGGTGTATACTCTCTTTGATGATGAAAAAACAATTATGCTTGCTGATTCTAGCCAAACCAAGATACTTGGGAGTGGTGAGGTTGACCTTAAGTTCACCTCTGGACGTATGCTTACTTTAAAAGATGTGCTTTATACACCGTCCATGAGGAAGAATTTGATGGCAAGTTATTTGTTAAATAAGGCTGGTTTTAAGCAAACTATGGAATCTGATCAATATGTGATTACCAAGAAGGGTATTTTTGTGGTTAAGGGTTATGCTTGTGATGGGATGTTCAAATTGAATGTTGAGATTAATAAACCATCTACCAATTCGGTTTACATGTTTTCTTCTATTAATTTTTGGCATGCTCGCTTGTGTCATATAAACAGTAAATATGTGGGAATCATGAGTAGTTTAGGATTAATTTCGTAAAGTGACAAAATTTTTTGAGAAATGTGAAGTTTGCAGTAAAACAAAAATTACCAAGAGGCCTTTTAAAAGTGTTGAAAAAAATACCGAATTGCTAGAATTATTTCATACTGATTTGTATAAGTTTGAAGGAATTTTAACTCGGGGTGGTAACCGATATTTTATCACTTTTATTGATTATTTTTTCAAAATACACAAACGTATATTTATTAAAAAAAAAGTGATGCTTTTAAGAAATTTAAAAAATTCCTTCTTGAAGTGAAAAATTAATTCGGTAAAAAGATTAAAAGAATTAGAAGTGATAGAGGCCGAGAGCATGAATCTTTTGGATTCAACTCTTTTGTTCAGTTTTTGGGAATTATTCATGAGACTACTCCACCATATTCACCTTAATCTAATGGTGTAGCTAAAAGAAAAAATAGAACGTTAATTGATTTGACGAATGCTATGCTTATTGATTCAGGTGCTCCCTCAAATCTTTGGGGCGAGGCTAGTTTGACAGCTTGCTATGTGATAAATAGAGCGTCACACAAAAAAACTAAAATTGTACCTTATGAGTTGTGGCGGGGGCAAAAATCAAATCTAGGTTATTTGGGAGTTTGGGGTTGTTTAGCTTTTGTGAGGCTTGCAGATCCTAAACGACCTAAATTGGGTGAACGAGCTACCACCTGTGCTTTTCTTGGGTATGCGTTGCATAGTACAGTTTATAGATTTTGTGATAAGGAAAATAATATTATTTTTGAATCAAGTAATACTATTTTTCATGAAAATAAATTTCTTTTCAAATCTAGAAATAGTGGGTGTCAAATAATTTCTGAAAATATTTTATCCATGCCTAGCTCTTCTACTCCATCTCAAGTTTTTCAAGAACAAGAAAATTCTCAAATCCAACTAATGAGGAGTAAACGAGCTAGAGTTGAAAAAGATTTTTGCCCTGTCTATTATCTTTACAATGTGCAAGAAATTCCTCTTATGGTGCAAGAAGCTTTATCATCATCTAATGTTATTTTCTAGAGAGAGGCTAAAAATGATGAGATAGATTCACTACTTTCAAAAAAAACATGGAAGCTAGTGGATTTACCTCTAGGTTGTAAAACTATTGGGTGTAAATGAGTCCTTCGTAAAAAACTTAAACCGGAAAGAACTATAGATAAATATAAAGCGAGGCTTGTCGCTAAAGGTTTTAAGCAACAAGTTGATCTTGATTTCTTTGATACTTTTTCTCCGATTACTAGGGTTACATCCATTAGACTGTTGATAGCAGTGGCTGCAATTCATGATTTAAAAATTCATCAAATTGATGTAAAAACATTATTTTTAAATGGAGATCTAGATGAGGAGATTTACATGGACCAACCCGAAGGCTTTGTGGAGCCTGGCCAAAAAAGTAAGGTGTGTAAGGTAACTAAATCCCTTTATGGTTTAAAACAAGCTCCTAAACAGTGGCATGAGAAATTTGATTCTTGCATGCTTAAGAATGGCTATAAGACTAATGAATGTGATAAATGCATATATTATAAAACTTGTGAGAATGCACATGTGATTATTAGTCTATATGTGGATGATCTACTTATCTTTGGCTCTAATTTGCATATTATAAATGAGACTAAAAATAAGCTTAATAGCCACTTTGATATGAAAGATCTTGGTGACGCCAATTTTATTTTGGGAATTAAAATTACCAAGGCTAATGATGGTGTTTTTCTTGATCAGTCGCATTATGTTGAGAAAATTTTAAAGAAATATAATTTTCTAGACTGCAAATATGTTGCTACTCCTTTTGATGCAATCATACATTTATCTATTGTAACAAATGAAAGTAAAGTAATTAATCAAAAGGAATATGCTAGCATGATTGGTGTTTTGAGATATGCTACTAACTGTACTAGACCTGACATTGCATATACTGTTGGAGTACTTAACAAGTTTACTAGCAAACCAAGTCGAGATCATTGGCTAGCCGTGGGAAGAATTATGAGATATTTATCTAGGACCAAAAATTATGGTTTGTTTATTAACAAGTATCCTGCGGTACTTAAGGGATATAGTGATGCCGATTGGAACACTTTGTCAAGTGATTCTCTTTCTGCCTCGGGTTTTATTTTTACCTTGGGTGGTGGTGCTATATGTTGGAAGTCTAAAAAACAGACTATAATTGTTAATTCTATTATGGAAGGTGAACTTATAGCATTAGCTTCAACATGTGAGGAAGCGAATTGGTTGAGAGA